AGTGCCGATTGCATACCTTTAAACCCAGTATCTATAATTTGCAGTTAAATTACGTCTGGTTTGAGTCAAATCTGTGCAAACTTTCAACCAAATTGGTTTGCAAGTATTAAATGGAAAGAACGCATTTTTGTTGTCGGAGTTTGTGCAGAAATTATGTGCAACGCCCATGTATGAGTTGATGCTATTAGAGTTTTTCACTTTTGCGCATTCGTTGTTTGCTTCCAGATTAATTCATATTGTGTTTAGGCTTCATGGTTTGCATTCCTTGCATTCTCATACCATTCGCACTATGGGTTTACTGCAAGTTTATTCAGCCGTATGTGCTTCGTTTCATTCCGGTGAATTGGCGATCATGGGCGGATTCGTGGCTATATCCGGTTTGTCCACTGCAGTATTCCGGAGAGGAGAAGACAAAGGATGCAGCCACATCTCCAGAGAAGACCACTGAGAACACGGCACAACTTACCGAGTCCAACGACGTGAAGCCAGCAGCAATGGTGGATTGTAAAAAGCTGGAATGAGGCTGACTTTTGTGAATTTCGTTTTTTAAATGTAATTTCTATTATTGACTTTATTTAGTAAATGATTATGCGTTTTCTCATTGGAATCGTAACATGTACTGAAATTGTTTTGTTGTGTCCGTATTATTTTGAAGAAGCCATGTAAATTTGAATCACATTTCTATTTCATCTTAGTAAAATAAATTTGTCAAATGATCTCCGGTTATTAGCTTATGTAATGTGGTTGTTACCATACAGTGTTTCGTTAATACGTTGGGGATCATATTGAAATCCATATGCTTTATTCATATACAACGCAAACAATTTGGTAAATTAACGATTAACCATTACCGAAGTTTCGGCTTATGTCTCACGGGGCTTTTTCAAAGTGGATAGGGTTAATTTGCGAATTTCGTTATGTGGTATGCAGATATTTAACGTTTTGGGTCAAAATATGTGCTTTTAATCTCTTCCTTGTTAAGTAGTTTTTTTGCAACAGGCTTGAGGAGGCAT